GGCCCCCACGCTGAGCTCTGCAGTGGCCCCGAGGAGCAGCTCGCTCAAGCCGTGGGCAGGCGGTGGGTTTAGTATGAGCCCTGTGTCGCCAGGGCCCCTCCAGCGGTGCGACACGCGTATATTATTGATCTCTCCGAGCCTCATTTGCCAAGAACTCGTCTGGGAAAGGGGGGTCATTGTCTTGGCTGATGAATTGTGAGGGCCCGTGACGTCAGCCCATGACGTCATCGGGGAAAGGGCCGGCGCAGTGGCCGATGCAGTGCGTGTTCCCGTGCGTGTTCCCGTCGTCAGTCGCACAAGGCACGCTCCAACCCTCCATCGTGTGGCGCCGTCATCCTTGTGATGGATGGGGAGGGCTTCTTCCCAGCGGGGTGGCCCCGAGGGGAAAGCCGCTTTGCTTTCCCAGCTTTAGATCCAGGGGTCTTGACAACTCACGGAGGTAATATCCCCATCGAGGCCGGGCCTGGCATTCAGGGCTCAGGCGTGCTGGCTCTAACCACTGGCCAGTACCATCTGCGGCAGCATCAGTATAGTTAGTGCGGTTGCTGGTACATGAAGGCCCTAGAAATGGTCCCGCTTACTGTTATCAATAACGATCCATTGACTGATTGATTGATTGATTCATTCATTCATCAAATTTGTCTTGAGTGTCCATTATGTTTAGTTGCCTAGCAACCAAGGAGTCAGAAATGGAACCTGCCATGGGAGGTCCCAGACCAGGGGAGCCACAGGCCCATACCCAGGAGTTTCAACAAGGCAGCGGCGTCTGGGCTACCGGAGGGTCCACACAGGCTCTGGGCACAGTGGCCAGGGGGCACCTGATGGTGGGTCTGGAGCCGGCAGGGCCCTCGGGTATCAGACAGGATGGGCTGGGGATCCCCATGGACTCAGGTTGTCTTGTTCCCAGATCGGTGCCAAGCATGCCTCAGGGGTGTCTCACCCTGGAGGCTGCTGTTGGTGCCGCCGGCAGGGAGGTGGGATTTAGGGGAGGCCCCCGGACACAGGAGCCTGTGGGGAGACAGGGATGTTTGCTGTGGGTTCAGAACTGGGGCCTGGGCCCGGGGATACCGAGGGGGGAGCCGGTGAGGAAATGAGGAGGCTGGAGAGAGGGAAGGCAGACTCCGCAGTGGGAGGCACTTTGGGGGTCCCTGGCCCAGCTCCCCGAGCTAGGTCCTGATCGTGGCCCTTCCTGGCCGCTGCTGCCCAGCTCGGTCCTCGGCCTCAGCGCGCTGGCCGGCCGGCGTGGGAGGACTTGGGAGCACCTGGGCCTGAAGTCAGGGGCCTGGGTTACAATCTCCTCTCCACCTGTGACTTTTTTAGTTTTGAGGATATTTTTCCATTGTTTTTTAGAGGGTGGAAGGGAGCGGGGACAGAAAGAGAGAAGCATCGATGTGAGAGAGACACATCAATTGGTTGCCTCCTGCACGCACCCCAACCGGGGATCGAGCCTGCAACCAAGATATGTGCCCTTGACCGGTATTCCGTCTGCAGGCTGATGCTCTGAGCCAAATGGGCCAGGGCCCCACCCGTGACTTGACGGCTCTGGGCCTCTGTCCTCCCGGTCAGGCCAGCGGGTAACAGAAACAAGAAGCGGTCAGAGCAGCAGCGTCCTTCCCCACAGCGGACACCGGGGGCCACTCGGGGTGTGTATCCGCTCTGAAGGGCCAGGGCCTGCTCCGCATCGGGGGTTGAATGTGGTGCCTCATTCCCGGGCTGTGTTTCGCTCCGAGGATGGAAAGCGCATGGCGGATGCCCCTGTCATTTTCCGTCTGCGGGGACGAGGATGCCCACGGCCTCATCCATTCGGTGCTCCCAGAGCTCACGGGACAGACGAGGAGACGGGGGCTCAGGACAGTCAGGAAGTGGGCCTCGAGCCCCCGCTTTCGAGAGGCAGAGACGGGCCGTGAGCCAGGTGATAGGCGGTGCCACAGCCCGGCTTGACCCACACGGAGCCCATCCTGGTTACAAGACGGGCAAGGCCGGCGGGGGCGGGGCCTGGGGTGGTCACCCCCATGCTCCGGCTGGGCCCTGCTCTGCCCCCTCCCAGGTGCACCCGGCCCCATCCCTGTCTCTGGCACTGCCCGCCACGCGCTGGGGCTGCTGGAGCCGCCTCCTTCCCTGTCTCAGCCTTGGACCCCACATCCAGTACCGCTTCCTAAAGCCCCCACTGTGTAGGTATCGGTTCTTATATTGTTTCCATGGCAACAACCTGGGAGCCTTGCTGTGACCTCCGCCTTGGCAGAGAGAGGACCCAGGCCCAGAAAGGGGGCGCCGTG